AGGCACCAGAAAGATGGGAGGAGGTGGCACGCCAGCCCCTCTTTGGAAACTGGTGGGTAGTGGACTCGCAAGGCCGGATGCTTCTTTGCGTTGACTCCCCCTGGAAGAGCTGGGTCAAGCGAGGGGTAATAAGGATAAGGGACATATGGGACACTGATAGGATGGACTGAATTGGAACAGACCAGCTGCGGCAAAAGCTGCGGTGCTGCCATCGACCACACGAAGCCCTGGAGGCGGTGATAGAAAGGATCCCGTTGGCCTGGTGGAGAATACTCCGCAAGGGCCCTACCCTGCAGGAATCGGACTGGGTGGCGCTTCCAACCCAGCAAGGAAGCGTGGGCAGGGTGGCCAACTACACCCTGGACGGAAAGGTGGAGGTGCAAGTTTTTCAGGTGGGGCAAGACAACATCATCTGTGAAAGTACCCCGCAAGAAACACTGACCTGCCAAACAGGGGAGGTGTATAGAATCCGGGTCCTTTATGAGAACGAGCAAAGGATCGCCTACTGTCCTGGAACCCCCCTGCAACACTTAGCCTTGGATCCGCTAGAGTGGTCATGGTCAACTCAAGGAAGGAACGGCAAGAAATTCACCAAGTCATTGTACGCCTCAACTGTTAAATCAACGTATCGGCTCTTGAGACCAAGAGCTTCATTGCAGATCTGGTGACGGAACGATGGAAAGACCACTTGAATATAAGCCAAGAGGAGCTGAGACAGATCAGATGGTTCAGAATGGTTAAGGCTAAGCCGGCCAAAGTGGCTTCGCTGCAATGGCAGCTAGAACACCGCTGTCTCCCAACAAATAATTGGCTGATCGATAGGACGCCCCTGGAACAACGAGGGCTAGCTCTCCCATGGTGCAGGTTGTGCACAAATGCGTTCCCCTCACGGAAGCGGCCTGAAACAATTGAGCACATATTCCTGCAGTGCCCGGGAGCACTCTGGCTGTGGAGATGGTGGGACAGAGTGTGGGGACAATTAGGAACAAAGACCCAATGGCCCTGGGATTGGAAAGCTTTATTGTGCGAAGTCTGGCCCCGGACCCAGACGGACCAAACTGATGAATTTACTTGTAATATGTTTAGAATAGGACGTAGGGCGATACTCTGGGCACTATGGAGACGACGCTGCACCTTTGAAATTGAGGGGGTAAGACTGGAAGGACCGGAGTTCACGGAAAGTATTCAGCAGCAGATCCAGACAGAAATAACGGCAAAATGGAATGGAGTCAGAGCACAAATCCAACTCCTCGATAGATGCACAAATATCAAACTCAAAATCCAGGACTTCTGCTCAAGCTGGCTTGGGGGTGAAAACGGTGGAGGATAGGAACGGTGGAATGGGCGGGAGAACATGAAGGGATAGGGGAGGATCAACATGGAAGGGAGATAGTTAGAGATTATCGACTGAATTTCAATGATTGGTCTACGGTGGACGCAGAGATCCCATTGAAACCCCCTGAAGAGTTCCGGGACTTCTTCCCCCCCCCATCACACTGTCTGGTGGAAATGCAGTGGTATGGAATGGATGGGTAACATATTGTGGTTTTGCACAACTCTGTCGCAAGAAGGTACAGGCGAGGGAGGAGGGGGAGAGACTAACAAATTAGGTCCTGGTACTGCACTGCCTCAAGCAGGTAGCGGCGACGAAGGAAGGGGAGGAACTAGGTTCTTACAGTAGATATCTGGCGCCCGCTTCAGGGCGAAGAGGTTTACTCTCCCTTCCCATTCTCCTGCTCAGCCAACGACACAGTTCAGATTCTCTTCAAAAAAAGGACTAGGTGGGGGGGGGGGACTAGAGAGCTACAGTATGTATCTGGCACCGCCTGCTCAGTCAATCCCCTGGATGCCAGGGTAATCAATGCTGGCAGGACTCTCCCACGATGTTTCTCTTCTCGATCAGACAAGCTGCAAATTTCATCTGTATATGGGACGCTGGGCCCGCTTCCCAGCAGGTGATGCTCCCCACCAATAGATGGAGCCTCTCCCCAGGTGTTAGAGATGCCTGCTCCTACCAGCACCTCTAACACTGG